CACTTGATGTGAAACTCTATGAATGTTTGTATACTTAGAAATTTTTCAAATTGACCAGCTCCTTCTTTTGTCTTGAATGAAGGTATTTATAGGCTTTTTAGAATTTTTTCTGTTGGTGGGAAAACCCAATTCAAACGTCTATTATCCAGTGAGTAAAGACTAGCGTATAATTCGAAAAAAAGATGACTTTAGCGTGTCAAATTTTTCAGCCGTTAGTTTCCTTGTTTTACGCTGAACATATCTTTTTGCTCTGCAAAAGTTGACTAACCTTTTTAGGGAAAATCTTTTTGGGATATGTACCTAGGACTCACTTTGTCTTGGTCACATTTTACCATAAGACACTAGCTAGTGTTTTAGGGTTTTGAACTGTTGGCTCTGAGAATGTCTCGAGCAATCCTTTTCGAGTGGTTAACTTCCACTATTCGAGTTAACGTTTCGAACATTAACACTTTTAAAGGCTTTCGGTTATGAATGGTTGACTTTACCATTCGTTCATTTCTACACATCGAAATGTAGGCCCTTCCACCATTCGGCCTTTGCAACCTTTTGGTCTTGTAGTCTTGAACTCTTCGACTCTTCTGATCTTCTATCTTTCGAAGCTTCTTCCTGGTTGTCCAAGATGTAACCATTCGGGTTACTACTTTAACTGAATCTGACTATCCGAGACATAACGACTCGGATCACTCATTCGGACCATTAGAAGGAGAAAAAAAATAAAGATCCTAAGTCTACGAAATAAAAAATAATTGGGGGTCTAAAATTCCTATTCTTTTGATATCATCAAAATCTAAATACAAATGTTCCTAAAAATTCCCCCCATTTTTGATGATGTCAAAACTTATACCCAAATTATAAGGCTGTTTTGAAACTTGAATTGATTTTTCATTACAATTCAGCCCATAATTGAGTTTGACAAATATGAGTAAAAGACATTTTTGGTCCTAGACTTATAGTGGCACGGACAATTTTAGTCCTTTATAAAAAAATCAGACAATTTGTAGACACTCTTATTGTGATGAAGACAATTTTGGTCCTCCGTCACTTTTCACGTTAGATGTCCCGTTAAGGAGGGGGTATTTGCATCTTTTCGTCATACCTCCTCTTTATTCCCTCACTGAGTTCTGTGTTCTTCATTGCAGATTGACGAAGAAGAAATTGAAGTCGGCGTTTAGAGAACTTATAATAAGGGCCTGAAAGAACATGGGTATTAAATTAGCTAGCATATCAGATATGGGTTCAAGTTCATCTAAAATTGCACACGATTTCTTCCCCTTTGTAGGTCTGAAGATTAGAACAGGTTTAATTTTCACCTTGAAAATTTTGTTTTGGGTGAAATCTCAATACAAATATATTTTTGCTTTCTGGTGGGAATCTGAGAGTTTGAATAATTGTGAGAGAGAGAGAGAGAGAGAGAGAGAGATCTTTTTAAGGATTGATTGAAAAATGAAATAATCAAGTGAAGTTTAAACCACTACATGTCTACATGAGACAAGTAGTACAAAGTTCGTTTTTTTAATCTCTGTACCGATATGAGTTCACCGAACAGGTCCGGGTTGGAGATGAATTCCTTCATCTTAGCGGCGCGAGGGTGGTGCATCAACATGGTAGCGTCCATAAGTTGCAACCCATTGGATTCGAATGCTTCCAAAATTGTATCGAATTCCTTGGAATTCAGCGCCACAAGCTTCTCGAGCAACAAGTGTTTCTGCTTCTGGGCAGCCAAGACAGCCCACTTGGAGTGCAGAGCCGTCGGGAGGGGCATATAGACGGCGTCGACATCCGGACCATCAAGAACGGCTTCGTAACTGCCGTAGACCTTAGCGGAAGCCGGGAAACCATCATCGGCGGCAAATTTCTTGGCCTTTTCGAGACTGCGACTGCCGACGGCGTGAAGGATGGCACTCTGTGATAGACTGCGGCTGCCGACGGCGATTTCGACACACCCGATGATTCCGATTTGGATCAGCGGCGAAACCAACATTTTCTATGCGAGTGGTTTAAGGTGCTCAGTGAGTGGAGTGCTCGAGATTCGAGAAACGGAGCAGGATTGAAATTGTGAAGACCACTGCCTAATTTTACTGCAATTGCAACAACTATAGTGGTGTGGGGTATGTGGTATTAGCAGTGTGGTCGGCAACTTCAATTTCTTCTTCGTCAATCTGCAATGGAAGAACACAAAACTCAGTGAGGGAATAAAGAGGAGGTATGACGAAAAGATGCAAATACCCTCTCCTTAACGGGACATCTAACGTGAAAAGTGACGGAGGACCAAAATTGTCCTCGTCACAATAAGAGTGTCTACAAATTGTCTGATTTTTTTATAAAGGACTAAAATTGTCGTGCCACTATAAGTCTAGGACCAAAAATGTCTTTTACTCGACAAATATTGTTCTAGAAATTTAAAACACTACGCAACACACATACTGAAAATATTTCATTAATAGTTCAAAAATATTACAGATTACAGTCAGTGAGTGCAAAAGCGAAAAGTAAATAAATATTACAAAATATCATTCATTACGCAACTTCAATCCTTGCTCTTCTTGTTGTTCCTTGCTTTCTCCGCTGCTTTGTCTAACACGCTATTTATTTGCCTTCGAGTGGTCACAATGTTGCCTTGTACCACTAAGTGATCATACATGTACGAGATCCCTGAGGCTGTGATAGTTGTTGAAGGTTTCATAAATATTTCTCCCCTTCAATCACACTGCAACGCCACCATATGATCAACTCTTAAGTGTTCATTCCATCAGCAAAGGAAATTGAATTGTCTCTCATCATATCGAACACTATGCTGGTAAGAGTTGCATCGGATTCATTCCATGTGATCCTTCAGAATGAATCGAGGCGTTCCTTCATGCGCCTCTCGACTTATTCAGCATTTGTCTTCCTTCTCTTCTTCTCGCATTCATTCTTTTCATCCAATTTACGTTGACGCTCAATGGCTTGACTGCGAGAAAAGATGTAATCTATCTTTCGTTGTTTGTCCAATTTCCTAGTCTAGATAGGTAGATTTTTTCCTCGGAACCTCTTACCACTTATTTCTTGGTAAGGTATATAAGGTACTACTTCACCACTCTGGGTTATGGTAGTTCTTCCTTTACGCTTTTGGCCTCTACTGGAACTAGCTATACCAAGCAGTCATTGTCCTCCTCCTTTGTTTGTTTCTCCCTTTTTAGCATCATCACCATCAGCGCCATAGCATCTAAGGGAGGAAATGCCATGATTGGAGACATCTACCTTGGTATGGAAATCACCGAGGCTCTGATGAATAGTCTTCATATCGCCTTTGAGCTCTTTGGTGACATTTTTGATGGCACGTTGATTGACCAGAAGCTGTCCTTGGTTACTATATAGTTGATGTAGACCTCCAAGGACAATCTTCAAGAATTTTGCACATTTTGTCCATCATCATGTCGTTGTGAGTCAAGGACTCCACAACCGAATCTTTGAAGTCGTCATCCAGGTCCGTTGATGGCATGGTTGGAGGACCTTGTGAGTGGATGACCTCCCTTGTGGCAGCAGCTTCAATGATCACAACACCCTTGATTGATCACCCTTGATCTCAACATTTTCTCTCCTTGTTTTCTTCACCACCTTCTTCACATTTCGGAATAAGGACTTTTGCTCCTTAGCCAGGCCAGGCCCAGGGGCATGGGCAGCCTGGGCACCTGCCCAGGGCCCAAGTCTATAGGGGGGCCCATAGATAATATATTTAACATATTATATATATTATAATACTTCGTACTTAATAGTTAATATATATTGAAAAATGAATAACAGAGGAAAAAAGTGGAAGACGGAAGACGAAAATACGGGAATATGAAGAAGAGACGCCGCCCTCTGCCTCGCCAGTCGCACCTACACCACAGTCCACAGCAACCCTTCAATTCTTCTCAACGGTAATAATGGAGTTATTAAAAGCACAAAAACCAACTAAGTGGTTTGTGTTTCATTGGTATCCGGTCCCTCCCTTATGTGGGAGGTTTAGGGTTTGAGCCTCGATGTAGGCGTAGATTGAATATGAAAAAAACTCAGAAACTAAATAACAGAAGAATTTTTTTTTGAATGTAATCTGAATTTAGGAATTGTTAGATTACATTCTAAATTAGGAATTGTTATTTGAGAAAGATTTTTTTTTTTTGAATGTAATCTGAATTTAGGAATTGTTATTTGTGAATGAAATTAGAAAGTGAAGATTACATTCTAAAAAAAATGAAATTAATTTGTCGGGCCTGCTACTACTTGTCCTCATAAATTATCAAGCTTCAGTTCAATCTGGTTGTCTCAAACTCCTTTGATCTCATCTCCGCATTCTCCACTGTGGCACTGTAGACATAGCTAGACTACTATAGTTTGTTTGTTTAGTAGAAAAAATAAATGTAATGTTCATCTTACAGGCCCGACATTACATATTATAGCAGATTACATTTTGAAATTGATTTGAATATTACATTTTGAATAGCAAATTACATTAAAAAAAAGTAAAAAAAAAATGAAATTGATAAATGAATTGCAGATTACATTTTGAAATTAGGAATTATTGATTTGTTGTTTAAGAGTTGGGAATTAGGAATTTTATTTGTCTTTTAATTCTATTTCTTAGGATTCCTATGTATAATGAAATTGTAAGTTTATTATATGAAGACTGCTTTTATTTTATTTTATTTTATTTTGTAAGTTGTGTAATGTGTTTATTCATTTATTTATGTAGGGATTGAAGATACATGTTTACCCGTTGGTAGAAATAAAGATTGTTGATTGTCTATTTCAGTATTCACAAGTGCCATGTGCTTTTGTTCCTTTTTTTTTTTTTTTTTTTTTTTTTTTTTTTTTTTTTTTTTGTTAAGATCAATTTTATTTGTAATAATTTTTTGTTTTTATATATAAGCTTGCCTAATAAACATTTATCTGGAAGTGAAAAGAGAAAAAAAAAATGAACAGTTAATAGACTCACAAAGAGGAGCTATGAATAAATTTATTAAAATAGTAGGATCATCTAATGAAAATTTGGAGAGACCAAACGTAGATAATCTTGAACCATCTAATGAAAATTTGAGGAATCAAGATCATATTGATGAGGATATTGGTAATTTGAATGGACAAGATAACGTAACAAATAATAGTCCTTTGGGTGAACATGATAATTTATCAAATGAGTATAATGTTGAAAATATATTGATTGATGAACAAATTACTCCTTATTTTGATATTTATAACCCTATAAATTGGTCTAATCTTGATAATAAATCAAAATATATTTTGGTTGAAAAGGGACCTATTAGGGAATTAAATAATGTGTTTCCTTTGGATAATAACTCTAGGCATTTTTCATATGTTCACTATATTAGGAAGTTGAGTAATAGAGAAACTAGTGATCAAAAATGTTTAGTTTACTCAAAACATGTGGATAAAGTGTATTGTTTTTGTTGTAAGTTGTTCAAATCTAATAACAATACAAGTCCTTTAGCGAATGATGGATTTAGATATTGGAAGCATCTTAGTGAGAGACTCAAACATGAGAATAGCATTGAACATATGACAAATTGGAATGAACTAAAAATAAGATTAAATAATAATCAAACTATTGATAAACATCTACAATATGAAATTTCAAAAGAAAAAGAACGTTGGAGACAAGTTTTGAGGATAGTTTGGCTTTTCGAGGATCCAATGAAAAAATTTACTGTGATAATAATGGTAATTTTTTGGGATTGATTGAGATGATTGCAGAATTTGATTTGATAATGCAAGATCACATTAGACGTATTCACAACCATGAAATTCAGCATCATTATCTTGTTCATAAAATTCAAAATGAGTTAATTTCTATTTTGGCCCAAAGTGTTAAAAGTTCCATCATAAATATTATTAAAGAGGCTAAATATTTTTCTATAATTCTTGATTGTACCCCTGATGTGAGTCATCAAGAACAAATGAGTTTAGTAGTACGATGTGTTAATATGTTTAGTAATAAAATAAAAATAGAAGAATACTTTTTAGAGTTTTTGAAAGTGGACGATACATCTAGTTTATGACTTTTTAATGAATTGTTAGATGCAATTAAAACTTTAGGTCTTAAAATTGATGATGTGAGAGGTCAAAGTTATGATAATGGTCGAATATGAAAGGAAAACATCAATGTGTTTAAAAATAATTACTTGAAATAAATTCGAGAGCATTGTATATGTCATGTGCTTGTCATAGCCTTAATTTTACTGTTAGTGATATGACACATTCTTGTATTAAAGTAGTTTCATTTTTTGGAGCTATGCAAGGTATATATGCTTTATTTTCAAGTTCAACAAAAAGGTGAAAAATTTTTCACTTGATAATGTTCCAAACTTGACTGTAAAATATTTATCAAATATTTACTTGGAATTGTTATTTGGTATGATATTTTATTTGCTATTAATATGGTAAGTAAAAAGTTGCAATCAAAATCTATGTGCATTGAAACTACAATGACCCAATTAGAAGGTGTAATGAATTTTTTTTTTTTTTTTTTTTTAGAAATATAGAAATGAAGGGTTTGCTACTAGTATGAATATTGCCAAAAATATTGCATGTGATATGGACATAGAGCCTACATTTCCAATTAGACGACGTATTATTAGGAAAAAGCAATTTGATGAAAATGATAATGAAGAGGAAATTCAATCACATAAGGAGTCTTTTAGAGTCAATTATTTTTTAACTGTTGTGGATGTGACAATTACTTCATTGAATAATAGATTTGAACAACTAAAGATATTTGAAAATATTTTTAGATTTTTATATAATTCAAAAATATTGAAGTCATTGGATAATAATAAACTAAGAGAATGTTGCAATAATTCTGATGATCTTTTCTCTGAATTAAAAATGTTACAGATGAATTTGCTAGACACATTAATGTCAGCGATTGAGATTCTTGAGTTTGTCAAAGTCACGGATTGCTACCCAATGATTTCTCTTGCTTATCGAATATAATTGACAATACCCATGATTGTAGCATCAGGCGGAGAGAAGTTTTTCAAAATTGAAGTTATTGAAAACCTACTTGAGATTTTCAATGCCACAAGAAAGATTGAATGGTTTGGCGATTTTGTGTATTGAGAAAGATATGCTAGAGAATATTAATATTGATGCAATTATCGATGATTTTGCATCGAGTAAAGCACGTAGAAATTTGTTGTCATGATTATTTTTGTATTTAAAAAATTGTTAAAAATTTGCTAATCTTATTTCTTTTTATTTGATATTCTAATTTTTTTTAGTATTATTAAATTTAAATTTAAAATTTTCATATAGGGACCCTTTTTAAAAATTTCGCCTTGGGCCTATAAAATGTTTGGACCGTCCTTGTCTTTAGGGCTCAAAAGATCAACCATCTAGATTTCTAGAAAACAAGTTGTTAGGGCTCATACCATGTGGCGCTTCCTTGTTCCACTAGAACTGGTTGAGCCGGAAGCTAATTCGAAAATGAATCTTTCGTTGGCAACAACAAGTGGTTGGTCGAATGGTTCCTGCCCACAAGTGGTCAGTTGCTCAGCCTCACCACTCGGTTCTACATCCTCTCGAGTGATTGGCAAAAGAGGCAAGCTAATAGGAACTTCAACTCCTCGAGGTAGTTCACTACTTGATTCCACTGCCTCTCAAGTAGTTGGAGAACTACTCAATATTTTAGTGTGCTCAGCAGCCTCTCTGCTAGGTTCTGCAACCTCTCGAGCAAGTTTGTATGTAATAGGTGACAACCTGGCTACTTCTACCACTCGGACAAAGATGTCACCAACCATTTAGTGCATAACCTCTTCAGCCTCTCGAGGTATCGCCTCGGCTTCAACTCGTGTTGCTTCCTCGGCCTATGGAGCTGGAACTTCTGTTGATAGTTCGGCCTCAGCAGTTGCGGTTGAAAACACGGCTTCGGCTATTCGGTCAATGCCATCTCAAGTTGTTTCATCTCCGACCTCTCTTGCTGGACTATTCGGTTGATCAAGAGCTCTTGTGTTTGGCCCAGCTTGAGGATTCGGATCCACAAACTCTGTTTCAATGCAAATTATGCTGTGCAACCGTGTGCACCAAGGTTGCAAAAACGATGTCATTTTGACTAAAAACGCGCGTCCCACTTTTAAAAAAAAAAAAAAATTCAGGTTCAATTCACGGCAATAGCATTTTTTGTGCATAATTTGAATTATATATCCACAAATTCATAACTATATATCCAGAGTGAATGAATAACACAAAATCCAGAATGAATGAACTAAATATCCACAATGAATAAACTAAATATCCATAAAATCATAACTATATATCCACAAATTCATAACTAAATATACACAAATTCATAACTATATATCCACAATAATGCTGTTGAGTGGAATCGAAACTGAATTTTTTTTAAATGGGACACGCGTTTTTAATTAAAACGACATCGTTTTACAACCGTGTGTACCATGCATGGTGTACACGGTTGCACAGCATAATTATTGTTGTTTCAAATCGAGAGAAGGCTTGGGCTCTTCTCATTTCTTTGGTAAAGGCCTTTCCTTACTGCCTTTGAGGTGGTGCTTGCACTTCTTCCTCAGTTAGTTTGGCCTTTCGCTTGGCAGCTTCTCTCTTAGCCATTTACTTTGTGTAGATGCGGTGGATCTTATATGTGTTGGTGGCGAGAGGAATGGAGGAGGTTCTTTGCCATTCTAGAGAGAAGTTTTTTTCTGGCCGAATGCGTTGCAAACCTTCCTCAATGATATCTAGGTTTGACATGTGTCCCTTCTGCCAGGTAGTTATTCTAATCAGCTCGGCCAGTAGGTCTTCATCTATTGAAATGATATTGTCCTCTCCAGCATATACGGCCTCAACTATGTCTTCATCGGCCATTTGTTGAGCCAATTGGGCACCAACATTAATTTCTTATTGAGCTTCTAGGTCCCCGGCAATAGCCTCTGTAACATCCCCGATTTTCACAATTTTCAAAAACATTTAAAGCTTAGTAAAGAGACAAAGTCTACTCATCGAGATTAAAGTAACGCGGAAGCAAAAGACATAATACGGGAGATGTTATGCCACACCTATACATCTATAGGTGCACAGGCTAAATCTAAACGAACATACAAGTCATGATCATAACAATCCATGACTCACAGGCCCAAAACTATAACTAAAACAGTCAAGGGAGCTACACTATCTAACAACAGCTAGCGCGCACTCCAAAAGCTACTCAACTCCAATGTTTTGATTTCTAGTGGCAATACACCGTGGGCCTATGTATATATCAAAGACCTGTAAAGCAACATAAAGAAAGGGGATGATGCCCGGTCAGCGAACATTGCTGGTAACCCATCAATACGTGTTAAATAACATATATAGATAGTATAAATCAAAACCATTTTCGAAACGGAATACAATATATATCAGTTCAAAAGTCATAGAGGAAAGTCAACTGCAAAGACTCAATTTCACTCTCAAAGGAACAAGGAAAATCAACATCCCAAGACAACAACAAGACAAGAATACCAAAAGTACAATACAACTCAAGATGTATTCTACTGATCACAAAGTAGAATACATCAAGACATGCTCTATAGCAAAGAAACACATACACACATTGGCAACTACATGCCATAGTGACAACTACATGTCACAAGAACACAATTCCAAGTTCCAACCTTATGCCATGTTCCAACCTTATGGCTACCCCCGACCTTATTACAGTTCCAACCTTTACCTCCTAGTGCCACGCTGTACTTCCGAGTCTAACCTTTTGCCTCCGAGGGCCGTCCCCCTCCCCCCCCCCCCCCCCCCCCCCCCCCCCCCGCCCCCCAACACCGCCAACATTTCCACCGATCTCTCAGTACACGAGGGTACCATTCAATATCATAACACAAACCACCAATCTCATGAGCGCGCAAAGCTCAAATAGCAAACCACCAATCTCAATCTTGGCCACACGAGGACTGCATCAGTACCTTGGAGATTAAGGCCCCATAAACCATAATCGTGCAATCAAGGTACATCAAGTACATACATTTACATCACAGGAATCAATTAATGGATCACAACAAAGATATGAAACCATACTCAACAAGAAAGGATTACAATCCGACACCAACGATGGTCAACACAAGTTGTCAATCTCAATAGGAAAGTACAAACCTCACACACTAGCATTTCAACATCAAACGAGCATGCTTATCAAACGGGTAAACCAAAGATAGTTCCATAGAACATACAAGACTCACCATAGTCCAACAAATCACAAAGTTGGACACTTAGCACGATTCAAGACACCAAATCCTATATGGAATCCTAACATACCATTCTAGACATACGAAACATCAAGAAGACACTCAAAAAGCCCAATTAAAACAACATCGGGAGGTCAAAACATCAATACCGAGTCAAAAGGATCACGGGGTACAAATTCCCGACCTACATCAATATTGTACCCCGTGGGTGGGGCCACGGGTGGACCTCCACCCGTGGTTCCGCCCGCGGGTAACCCCTGTACCTCAAAATAATCCATTCGGGGATTTTCAACAAGAAGTCCAAATTCAAGTCCAAAACATCCAAAATCTTACACAATATAACAATATGACTTGAACCCAAGAAATAGCCAAGCAATGGCATACAAGAACCCTAATAACAAGCTCTAGACATGCATCACCACAAGATAATGCATCAAATCTCACATTTCATCACAAAAATCACAAGTAGAAACCAAGAAATCATCATATAGGTAAGAAAATAGGTTTTGTAAAGCATGGGTTACCTTTGTAGCCTAACACTTCACTTTTCTCACCCTTAAAAGCTTCTCCTAAAGCTCTTCTTCAACTCCAACTTCACAAACAACCCAAAAGACAACAAAGATTCAATTTTTATGAAAAGACATCTAAAAAGATATTAAAAACACCAAGAGATCAAGGATCTTACCCTCCCCTATGCTCAAGGTTAGGAAAGTATGAATCTTGGAGGCCAACTTGTAGGATTTAGGATACCCAAAATTTGGCTTGGAGAAGAAACTATCAATTTCCTAGAGTGAAGGTATAGGTTTTGTGTTTAGAGTGTTGGTGGATGAAATGAAAGGATGATGTTAGGTTAGCTTGGAGCACAAACTTTAGATAGAAAGACTTCTTTGCCCTTACTAAAGTTGGAAGAATAAGGAGACAAGGGAACAACTCATAAGGCATAGGGTACAACTCTTTGACTTGGATTGACTAGTCCAATTTCTAGTCCTCCGACTATTGAATTTTCAGGATTTTAGGAATAAACTACCAAATAAGCTAGGATTAATTATCTAATTAATCCTTAAATAGAGTTTGGATTTACGGGGTGTCACAGCCTCACTATCATCTGCAGCAGTTGCACCCACCTCTTGTGCAATCTCGATAACTACATCAGTCACATTCTCACTCACCACATATTTTACTTGTGTAAGTTCTAGTGGGATGGGTTGAGTCCGAATGGTGACAGGTATGTTGGTCTCGCGGGGTGCCTTAGCTTGAGACTCAGCCTCTCGAACAGTTTCTACATCTTCAGCTATTTGGGGTATCTCTATTGTGTTTTGAATAGTAGACTCGGTATCCACAACCTCTTGTGCATCTACTATTCGATTGTGTTCCCCCTCGATTGGTGACGTCTCGGCCACCGCCTCTTGTACCGTCTCGGCTGGCTGTGATGGCTCGATTGGCTTACCTTTTGGCTTCTTAGGAACTAGAGCCTTAGGGGCTTTGGACTTCTTCTTCTCAAGAGCAGGAGCATCAGCAGCCAACTTCCTCTTTGCCTTGGACTACTTTGCCTTCTCGATCCGAGTAACACTTAGCCTAGTGGACCTTTTGGAATTGCACTGTTCCTTTTCAGTGCTAGAGGTTTAGTGCGCATGTAGTACACATTACGATGAGCTAGGACATCGTCTCTAAGCTTGACTCCCTTTGAGATCAACAACTCAGTCACTAAGAGCCCAAAACCCACACCCTTGACTAAGGTTTTGTTCTTTGTGTCCACTACTTTCTCAATAAATTGTTTGAGAAAGTCTTAAACTACCCTTGACCAATCCACAAGGTAGTTATTGAGGATGGCGCTTAGCATAGTGAATTTTTCCTCTGTGACATCGTCTGTCCCAACCACACG